TATATGGGGAGCCAGACCCATTATCACCCAATAAGGGTTTGACGTGTATTTGAGTGGTCAGGGCAAGCTGCCCTGGACCTAAATAAAAACAGAGTTGATTTTCCTTCAGACTAAGCACTTGGTTTCACTATCGCGGAACTTGCACGTTTCCTCATTATTACGTGTAAGCTAGTAACGGACACTCTAGGCCCGTTACAGATAGCATCTTTCATGCACGCATGACACTCGTTTTCGACCAATGCATGTTGAACATATTGACCCTATCATGAAAGAACCACGACGCAAGATGTGTTAATCACTAACCAAAGCATAGCAATTGTTATAGTCACTAATGAGTCCCCAACTACACCAACTGATCACTTACCATTTGGCAAAGTCACGAATTGATCACCAACTAATCGGGACAGAATGCAGTACTTACGTGGCCAAAAGTATCTTCGATCATGAAGCTGAAGAGCTTGTACTTCGCAGCGTTGGTTCCGTGGGTCGAATCCAGCAGCACCACTTCCGGAAAAGCGTCAAAGAATCGTTTCATTTGCCGTGTCTGCATTGTAATTGTCTGCGTTGTCTTCCTATCATCAGCGAAGATGGAGGCAGTGTTCCCCCGAACAGAGCAAAATTCCCGCAGCACCGCCTCAAGCCTGTCTTCAACCGTGGTAGCGCCACGACGTTTTGCCTTTAACCTGCGGACCAAGTTGTGCACGTCCCGGAGCGTCACTCGTTTGCCTGTCCAACTCATGTCATTAGAACCACTGACAGCAAGATAAAGATATGCACTTCGCTAATCAAACCTGTTGTTTCCTGAAGATACCTGAGAATTGTTTTGGGCTTGGAGCCCGCTTTGACAGCTCGTCGACGAAGTCCAAGAATGCCGGGTTCTGTTACACGCCGAGTTGCCAAGTAGTTTTAGTAGACCTCACGCCGAAGTCTGTGGTTGTGTGTTCTGTTGTGTGTGCTCACATGCACCCGCCACGTGCCAGTTGTTGGGCAAAGCGTGACGGTCGCGGAAAGGTTGACGCCACAATTTGTGCTGTGGTGGATGTGCCCAGTCCGCTGTCCCTCCCCGCGAGGATTCTTCTCCCATCCATGCGTGCATACCAGCTTCTTATAGTAATCGCCAAACGCGTCCGGGATCAACTCCCTTTCCTTCCACCTTTTCTTCTTCTTGATCTTTTCGTTCCTCGCCGACGCCTTCATGCACGATCGAATTCGATAGGGCTGGGCAGTACGTGCTTCCTACTCTCTCAGGTTCGCGAAAAACTCGTCCCACGTGTCGTGCCACTTTGCAAAACGTGGCGCGATTTCCTGGATCTCCTGCTCGTCGCTGTCGGATGAATCGACAGCAAAAATGGCCCCGCTAGCCCCACCTTCTTGTTCCTTTTCCGATTCTGAAACGCTCATCATTTCTGCCGGTGTGTATTCAAGTTAGAAACACAATACAGGGGTCAGTGGGTCACAGCAGAGATAGTACCTGTCGGCGCCGCGCAGAAGCGTTCCGGAGTGAGAGGAGGAGGGGGGGGCTCAAGGGGGAGGCAGGATTTCGAAATGAAAGGCTGAGCAGACGCACGCAATTTTAAAGAAACGAAAGTAGAGATTTCCGTATTTTACCGGAAAATAAAATACGAAGCCCAAGTGGAGGTAATTTCATCGTGTCCTGTCTCTACATTTTTGGTTAGGGACTGTAGTTACTCTCTAAATGAAATGACATTTGGTGAAAGTTAAACGAAAATATTGATTCCACCCTTAATCAAATTGACCTTTTTTTTTTGTCAAATGACGTCAATTAATACTAGGTAATGATTAAAAACAATGGTACTGCCGAAATCAGCCTCTAAAAGGGTCGCAATATAATATTGGAGGTTCCTCGAGATATGGATGTCACCTCGGACAGATCCGATTATTGTATATATATAATAAATCGATCCACTTTTTATTTGAAGTCAAGAATTTAGACATTTTAATTGAGGTTAAATACCATAATATGAGATTTAACCTTTTTGAATACATATAATGTATCGTTACGCTCGTTTAACAAACCCACAATAAGCTCAAATTCAAACAAAGAAAATATCAATTTGGTTTGCAGGTGTCTAAACAGTACTTCGAAGTAGAAGCCGTTATCATGCATCGCACATAACGAGTCTGAGCACTAGAATTTCATCCGCGCGATTTATATCTTTTGATTGCGTGGCAGGAGCTAAAATCTTTGATGGCGCACAATATCATGCCTAAATACGCGATCCTGAGCCTAGTGCGTGACCTAGCTGCGCCGCACTCAACCATCACATTTGGTTCGAGCCTGCGCACGCAGACTTGCTTCCCACACGGCTAAGATGATAGTCCAGCGGTCACTCATAGAGCTTGCGTCTTTGAGTCTTGTTTGAGACAAATCACTTCGCCATGCAGCAGTTCTAGTTCAAGACAAGGACGGCGCGGCATAGCAATCGATGTTGCAGTGTGATGGTGTGTTGCGATCGAGTTATCCCACGACATGCGCCACTTACAATTAAATTTGCATCATGAAAGACAGCTCGGGTATCGTCACAAACGTGGTGTACCCTGTAAGAGCCGCAGCCTCCAAGCAACTTAACATTAAGAGCATGAAGCAGTATGAGGACATGCACAAGCTGTCGCTCGAAGACCCAAGCAATTTTGGGGCAACCTCCCTTGAATGAACCTCGCGTGGTTTCGTGACTTTGGAGCGTCAACTGCATTGACCGTCATGTCAGCGAACAAGATCGCTATCATTTGGGAGGCTGATGAGATCGAGAGATCTTGTACGCGAAAACGTGTCGTACCGCCAATGTGATGAAGCACGCCGGTGTGCAGAAGGGAGACACCGTCGTCAATGTACATGCCCATGATACCCGAGACGGTTTTCGTCATGCTCGCGTGCACTCAAATCGGTGCCGTGCACAACATGATCTTCGCAGGTTTGTCGGTCCGGAGCTGTGTCGGTGTTCACGTCAGACGAAGGTCGACGCGGTGGACGCATCCTACCGCTGAAAAGCACCGTCGACACGGCTATCCAGAACCTCAACTTCGTACGCAACGTGTGCGTCTTCAAACGTACACACAATACCGTCGTTCAGATGAACCCGCAAGTCGACGTAGACATGGAGGAAGATATGTCACATCACCGTCTGTACGGTCCGGCAGAGTATGTGAATGCAGAAAATCTCATGTTCATCTTGTACACCTCCAGTTCCACTGGGGCGCCCAAGGGAATCGACCACACATTGGCGGCTACCTGATGGTGACAGCTAAGTACGCTTTTGACATCCACGACGACGATATATTTGCCTGTGATGCAGACTGCGGCTGGATCACGGGTCACACCTACGTCGTGTACGGTCCGTTGGCGAACGGCATCACTACGGTTCTATTCGAGAGCACGCCGTCGTATCCGCATCATGGACGCTACAGGGACCTCATCCAACGTCACAAGGTGACGCAATTCTACACAGCGCCTACAGCTATTTGAGCTGTAATGGCGCATGGCGAGGACATGGTCCGGGTGTACGACCTCTCCAGTCTGAGGATTCTCGGTGGTGTTGGTGAGCCAGAGGCGTGGAAATGGTACAATGAAGTAGTAGGCAACCGCCAATGCTACATTGGGCCTCCGAAAAAAATTTAGGTTTCAATAATGGAAATAAATGTTTGAAAGTTATTTATTTGCTAGTCCCCAGTAATCCGTGCAATTTGTTTTTCAAAAGACTGAGCCCCCACCATTATGCCTACTACATCTAAAATTATTATTTTTAACGATCTTGATATAATCTATTTATTTTCGTTGCTACCACTGTATCTTCATATTCCATCTGCACCTCAATTGACATTTTTTCAGGCGCTACACAATATGTTTACTGTTACTTCAGCGTCGTGCTCGGTATAACGGGACCGCTATAAAACTTAACTCACATCAACGCAAAAGATAGTAATGGCCTGTCCAGCTTACACTACTTACCCGCTTGTACTGCTTTTTTGAGCTTGTAAGTAACTAAAGATTGTTGAAAATATTTGAATTGTAATATTTGTAATGCATGCTGCGCTCATTTTGTGCTGATCAGAATTAGTCATGAGACACTCGATTCTGTATCAGTAATGATTAAAGCATTTGGATAATGTGCCGTAAGACGCTTGATGTTGACGGTAGTTCTTTTTTCTAAAAGTTTAACGATAATTACAGGATGGTTAAACGTCATTTATGCTTCAAATTTATTAGCGTTTCTTTATGGGGTCTACTTAACCAACTATAATTCACACCCCTCGTGTTTTGCTGCTGTCTTGCCGCTCTATTTAAAATCGTATCCTACGCTTCTGTCGGCGACACGTCCGCCAGCTAGGTAGTATGGGATTTTGCTGTCTAAACAACTCTTAGAAAACAATGGCTTACAGCAGTAACACATGTGTGTACATTTTGTTCAGTCTGAGACTATCTATCATTATGGATCAAGTGACAACGTTTATTAGCAGCGTTGTTCTAACCGTCAGTTCTTACGGCCAGCTTCTGTTGTACATGTACTGCGTTTTGGCAGCTCAGTCAGTTACCTCACTCTCAGATAATTTATACAACAAAAACAGCTGTAGTTATTATTTTAGTCATTGTAGCTTTCTGAAACTAATATGTACAGAGTATTACGTATATCAAAAGTATGGCCTGATAAACTCCTACGTGTACATGTACGCTAAGCACCTTGCATATGAAGCTTCTTTAGGGGCTATTTCATTTCAGAATAAGTAGCTCTGTTTAGCACTCAAATATTAAAAGCAACATCTATTTTTAAAATTGAAAATACTTCGTAATATAAAAACGATGCCGCGTTCAGATACCGGTAATGGATAGTCTTGTTCAAATCTCTATATGTGCTCTGTGTACTACATGAATTTACTGATGTAAGCTACATAATTCTATTTTAACCAATCGAAGCCGCCTTCGCTCCGCTCTACAGCCAATGGGAAGGCTCAAAAATCCGAGCGTTTCGTGTGACGGACGGACGGACACCGTGCTAGCATTGATAGCTTAGGACTAGCCGTTCGCCGCCGCTACGCGGCGGAGTGGCATGGTTTGTTGTAGATGCGGTGGCCACGAATTTAAGTGCTTCGTGGTGTCGCGTGTTTTGTGAGCGTCGCTCACCCAGTAGATCTTAGCTTCGTGTACGTTTGGTACGCTTCCGTTACCCCGTACTACAGGTTGGATGTCATGTTCTACAGTGGCCGGCGCTCTTCCGTGATCTTCTTGGCTTCGTGGCTCCCTGCTCACCCGTGGCCCATACTGCTTAGTGATTGTCCTGGATTTGTGAACTCATTCTCTCACAGTGCTTAGTGGTTGTGTGCTAGCCTTTTTGGTCTCATGTGCTCCCGTAGTACGACCCTCTTTCGTGGCTGCTAGATATTCCGTGTTCTCAAGGGTTTACGTGTATTCCACAGACTTCGTGTCCATAATCATTTATGGTCGATAGCGTTCCATTTCCGGTACCCTCGCCAATGGGTGATTTTCCGAAGTTTTTTGTCACCTGTGTGCCGCGCACCCCTGTCGTGGCTCCATCTACCGCGTTGTCGCACTATCGTGCAATCCCAATGTGGCTATGCTGTCTATGTTATCGTGATTGCATAGTATATATGTTTTACCAATGTTATCACGCTCTACGATGATTCCGTGTCCGCGGTGTGCAATTGTGGTCTCCAGAAGCGTTTCTTCGCGATTTTGTGGCTGGTCGGCCGTCCTGGTAAACGTGTTTTAATGAAGTATCGTCCTCAATGGTCCGGCGATCTCAGGCTCTACTGTGCTATCGTGCTCAGTGGCTCGGTGACTTCCCGTGGCTGCTTGTTCTCCCATGTTTTAGTGGCTGTCTCATCGCCCATGCTATCGTGCTATCGCTTGGCGTCGCGGCTGGTCTGTCCTCCAAGCTTTCGTTATCTACAGTAGTATCGCGCTCCCCAGTAAGATCCGGTTCCACCCTGGTGTCGTGCTCCAATACTCGGTGATTTCCCGTTAATAGTCTCCCGCGGCTTTATGCCTGGTCCGTCGACCGTACTCCGTGCTCTACCGTGGTGCTATCGGAGAATTGCTGTTAGTGCACTCTTATCGCTACGTGTTCTACCGTGGCTTCGAGTGCGCGTGCTTTTTCGTAGCCCGTGCTTTCCAGCATGCTGGGGTGTCTATGGATTTAGTTCTCTTCTGTGGCCCGTACGCTCCCGTCATATGCTTGTCGTTCTGTCCTGTTCATGGCTGCGTGCACTTCCATATTTCACGCCACGTAAAACACTTCGTGGTCTGCATCGGCTAAGGCTTCTATCTTTCGTGCTTCGTGTTGCCCTTCTATCCCATCGTCTACATAGGATGGGTCGATGTTCCTTCGGGCTTCGTGCTCTTGCTTAGTCACGTGCCTCCGCGCTAACTTAAACACAATAGCTGCTCCCATTTTGTTTGATGTACGCTACATATATTGTTGGAAAGTTTGCAGAATATCTGAAGGTCGCACACTACGCGCGCAAATACAAAGGAAGATGACACTTTTTCCCGGAGGCAGTGTGGGGTGCAGGGGTGTAAGCCACAATAGTCATATTTTAAGTTTTTCACATTATTATTAATAGTAATAAAATTGTGATTTATTATCGAACGCTGATATAACAGCTATGTGTACTACTACTACAAATAGCTGCAAGGAAAAATATGAAATGTCTTGATAATAGTACTACTCCAACATATTGTAAGTTTGATTTTTAGAAAAGTACTATGAAGCCTAAAATATCATTCTATATCCAATATGTAATGGGCCCAACTCCAATTACATAAGTAGGTAGATATTTCTTTAGTTATTACATAAGTAGGTTAAGTGGCACACGGGTAGCGTGTGCCAAAGTGTCATCATCTGATTGGTTGATAGTGAGGAGCCAGACTCACTTATTGACCAATCAGATATAGACATGTGTTTGAGTGGTTCACACGAGGCCAGGGGTAGCCGCCCTGGTCCTAAATAAATCAGAGTTGAATTTGACACAAACCTAAGACTTGGTTTTATTATTGCGAGCTTCCTCCGCACTATAGTGTAAGCTAGTAACGGTATCTCTTACCCCGTTACACCTGGTAGCACTTTGTAGTCCTTCCAACGACCAAGTCTACGATGAGCCAAGTCCAGATCTCCGGAGCGACCCTGGAGCATGCTGCATTCTCCCATCTCACTCGCGTGGAGTGGGAAGCGCTTCACCACCTCGTGGCGGTGTCCGGAGACGCTGTCGTTGCATCGCTGCTGAGCCCAGCGACGCCCGACCAGCAACGTCTTGCAGCACAAGAGTTCATGGAACGCGAGCTCGCCGATGCGAATCGGCGGGTGTCAACTCCCTCGCGTCCATCCCAGAATGACATCGTCAAGATGGAGACGTCTACGTATTCTGGCGCCGGTAAAAACCGGCTTCCGCTAAACCGGTGGTTCCGCGAGATCGACATCGCTATCGCCTCGCGATGCATCGAGGCGTCATCGGCCAAGATGAACTTCCTCCTCTCCCGGTTAACCGGGAAGGCCAAAGAATGGGCCCTCGGGAAGCTGGTTGTCGACCCCGAGGCTTTCCCGACTCTGGAAACTCTCCAGAGCGACTTGCGCCTCGCGTTCGAGCCCCCGCAAGATGAGTCTCGCGTTCGCGCAGAGTTCTTCGCTCTGCGGCAAGGGCAGATGTCCATGCGTGATTACGTCCAGAAGACGCGACATCTGGCGTCATGCACCGTGACCAAGCCAATCGACATGGACCTCGCAAGTCCACGTATTTGTGTTCGGCATGCGCGAGAGTATGACCCGCTACTGCCTCACCAGAGCTGAGCCCTCCTCTCTCGAGGAGGCGTTTTGCACTCGCGATTCGGCGAGAATTACATGGTAGTTGCATCGTACGCCGCAGCCATACCTGCGGAAGCCCGGGAGTCTACCCCCGAGCCCATGGAGATCGACGCCATCAGCGCGTCGAGGAATCGACGTCGCGGGTCCTACCGCGGCAGCTCTGGACGAAGCAATCGCTCCCTCATTTGCTTCCGTTGTGGGAAGAAGGGTCATCGCGCGGCGGAGTGCGGCGCGCCAGCTCCCGTCGTCTCTCACGTCGACGCGGAACACTCCTCGGGTCGCTCATTTCAAAAAAGACCAGGACCAGTAGGTGCGGGGCGCCTTACTGGCTTTGACGAAGGACCGGGCCCTCCGGTGGCAGCCCAACCTTCGAGCCCTCCCGTGCTCCAAGCACACACCAATGCTACCACTACGCCGGGCGA